TAAAATTGAGTAAATATGAGCACTTAATGTTTATTATTAGTAAAAAAGCTTAGTAAAAAGCTTATTAAGCTGCCCAGCGCATGAAGAAGCGGATACGAAGATAGTTTTCCACGTCTGTCAAATAGATTACGACGCACATGTCACGATAAGATGCTCGGATACTGACGTGGCCATTATAATGCTTTCTAACATGAGTGCCTTAAGTAACGCTGATGTTAAAGATTCAATGGAAGCCGGAGTCGGTAATAATCAGCGCTTTATTAACATTAGCAAGTTGTATGAAACGTTGGGCCCTAAATTAAGCGCCGCGCTGCCGGCTTTCCATGCATTGACGGGTTGCGACTATAATCCGTCATTTTTCAAGAAAGGAAAAAGCCGGCCGTATAAAATTTTACAAAACTCAGAACGTTTTATCGATAGTTTTATCAAACTAAGCAACGCACCTGACGACGAGTTGCAGAATACGTTTGATATTATAGAAGAATATGTTTGTCGTATGTATGGATTCAAAAAAAATCAACAAAGTCAATGAAGCACGAGTTGCAACATTTTTGAAGACGTACAAGGTTTTACAAAACGATGACATATTCCGGTTACCGAAGAATAATATCGACGGATCAGCTCTGCCTCCCTGCAAAATTGAGCTGCACCAACATTTGCTGCGGACAACATACATAGCAAATATTTGGGCACATGCTCATCTTCAGGTTCCAACGGCATTACATCCGACTGATTTTGGATGGGAAGAAGATGAGGGAAAATTCAATTTTAAATGGTTCGAGGGTGACCAGCTACCCGCTACCCTTGGTGATATAACTATCGATGATGGCGATGACCAAAAAAGTACTGAAGGTTAGAATAATACTGATATATTTTTCTCTCATTTCATTATTTGTCAGTTTCAATTTTTGATTATTTTCTGTTTAATTTTATCATACAATTTTAATTTAAAAATAAAACTGAGTTATATTTGTAACAATTTTGGATAGCATGTCACCTTTTTTTTTGTAATTTATAATCAGATTTGAATTAAAATTTTGCTCTTGCGTGTTAAATGTTTATATACTATTATCATCTATATCTTTTAATAAATTATTATTATATATGTTTACAGATCCTGACGAAGATCTTTCACGGGTCGACATCGCTGTCAGTGATAATGACAGCGATAATGAGTACGATGGCGATGAATCCGAAGAAAGCGAAATTTAAAATATTAGCTATTCACGTATTAGCACACTATGTATATTTATTTTGAATTTTAGTATGCTTTTTGTAAATAAATAATACATTTTTAAGTAATTAATAGTAAACCTACTTTTTATTATCCTCCTTTAGAGCAGAAAAGTTATACGTATCTATCATCCAATAACTGCATGGACGGCACGCTGTGTTTAATGAGAAAAGTATAGGTATCTGATACCGCAAGAGCTGAAATTTGGTAATACAATAGTTGACTAAATAAGTTAAACGAAAAAAATATCCAGCTTTATATTTAGTGAGGGAAAAGTGTCCAG